GAGCTAACTAAGCATTTCCCCAAGTACTCTCTGCAGGACCAGTTTGACGATGGTGGAACAATGTGCATCCCCAGCCCTGTACCAACTACTCATGGGCTTTCCACTTCCCAAACCTGACCTACACATTTACTACTCTTGAACCCATGACCCACATGGTTCCTAACCCTACAGGACTCCCTCCTGAAGGCCGGAGACCGTGCCACAGTCAGCTTACTGCTCTTGGCTGGAGCAAGGAGGGGTGGAAATTGACACACACTACACTCTCCAGTCCATATGGAGAGGTGATTGAATCTAGCCCCTTGTGAAGTGCTGAGCACCCTCAACTCCTATTAACTTCAGTGGTAAGTGAAGGCATTCTGCACCTTTCAGAAGGCACTCAAATGTAACTACTATGCAGTTTTGAAGCCACTCCTGGGTTAATACAGCAAATAAACATATTAGGAACAAGCCAACAATATGGTACATTTACCTACATTTCTCAAATTTGCAAGCCACACTGGGTTGAGCTATAAAATTTTATCTATTTTAGAACTGTAAAAAACCTGCAAACCCTATGATAAAGATTTTCTACATTCGGTTGTTTATATAAACAGCTTGTACGCATCACACTCAAAGTAGAGTGACAATAAATACTATTATTAAAACATCAGAAATAGAATATAAAATGCCTGGAACACTGCCAGTCATTAAGGTTTTATTAGATATGAAAAGTATAGCAATGCTTTATTCCTTCTAAGACACTAATCTAATTTTTTTTCAATTCTACTGTCATCCCTACTTTTAATTTTATTTTGAGAATGAACTAGAAAGAGAAAGGAAAAGGGTTGATAAAAATGCAAACTGAAAGTCTTGATTTCAGCATTAGTTCATGAGAATCACTGTGACTACAAAACATTGTTGAAAGGGACACTGCAAACTAGTTCAAGCCAAAAGTTTGACCTCCTTTAAAACTGTTATAGTCCCCAAAAGAGAAGTCAGTGCACAGCACTAAGGGTTCAGAAGTTGGGGATGCTAAACTCTATTACAAGTAGTTATAAGCAAGACAGAAAGATGGCAGGGAATACTAAGTTCTTTCATAACTTTTCCAGACAATTCAAGTTACACTAACTGGTCCTGAAGGGATCCACATCTAGCCTTCCTTAGCCCGAAGTGCTGACCCAATATCAGTGTGGAGGGGAAAAGAAAGGTTTAAGTGGGGTTTATTGAGGCATTCTGGTCAACATTTTTTTTAAAAAAATTCAATACCTCTGAACTTTTGTAATATCTTCCAAGTAGGCTACATTTGAAGATTTTTTTTTTAAATTTAAGATTGGCACAGTTAAAGGGCAAGCTGCACATAAGACCCCTTTTGTCACTCTCAAGTGCATCCTTCAGAATGATAGGCCTGGCTTCCTCCACCTCTGTCTAGGTGGAACCCTGCAGTCCAACCACTCAGACTAGATCTCTAAGCTACAGTACCCGGTTTCTCAACTGTGTTAACCTGATACGCCAAGTTTTGGCACCTCTAACCTTTTCCATCAAGACCTTGTGACTCAAAAACAACTTCTTCCCCTCCCCCCCCCCCAAAAAAAAAAAGAAAAAAAAAGATAACATTTATTTAGGAAAACAGATTAAAACAACTCCTTACAGAATCCCAGTCTACTACTCTACTGGCTCTGCCAGACCTATTCAAGAGATGGGAGGGAACTATTGAGGGATGTGTTTATGTGTAGGGGAACATGGAGCACAGGAAGGAGGGGGAAACTGAGGTGTATACTCTGGTTGTTTTGGTGATTCAAAGCAGTTGTAAAACTAGCCTAACCAACTAGTATGTTCTGACTACTTAGTGCTGCTCCAGGGCAGAACAAAGCTACCATATCATACCAGTGAATACGGCCATACTACCCACCACCTGACCAGGATGGTGATGGCAACTGTGAAATGCTCTGAGATTAAAGAGGCTAAAAAACACAAACCTCAGTAATAATGGGAGATTTCAACTATCCCCATATTGACTGGGTACTTGTCACCTCAGGACAAGATGCAGAGATAAAAGTTTCTGTATACCATAAAATGACTGCTTCTTAGAGCAACCAGTCCTGAAATCCACAAGGGGAGAGGCAACTCTTGATTTAGTCTTAAGTGGAGCACAGGATCTGCTCCACTGTATCTGAACTGCTAGATAATAGCCACAATAACATAATTAAATTTAACATCCTGGGGAGGGGGACACCAAAGAAGCCCACCACGGTAGCATTAAACTTCAAAAAGGGGAACTACTCAAAAATGAGGAAGCTAGTTACACAAAAATTAAAAGATACAGTCACAAAAGTGAAATGCCTGAACGCTGCCTGGAAGCTCTTTAAAACCACTGAAATAGAGGCGCAAATTGAACGTATACCCCAAATTAAAAAACATTGTAACAGGACCAAAGGAGTGCCACCATGGCTAAACAATAAAGTAAAAGAAGTGGTTACAGGCAAAAAGACATCCTTTAAAAACTGGAAGTCAAATCCTACTGAGGAATATAGAAAGGAGCATAAACTCTGGCAAGCCAAGTGTAAAAGTATAATTAGGCAGGCCAAAAAAGAATTTGAAGAGCAACTAGCAAAAGACTCAAAAACTAACAGGCAAAAATAATTTTAAGGACATCAGAAGCAGGAAGCCTGCCACACAAAAAGTGGGACGACTGGATTACTGAGGTGCTAAAGGAGCACTCAAGAAAGATAAAGGCCATTGAGGAGAAGCAATATGAATTATTTGTATCGGTCTTCACTGCAGAGGATGTGAGGGAGAGTCCCACACCTGAGCCATTCTTTTAAGATCCTTGCAATTATCCCAAATAACAAGCATTATAAATTCAGAACTAAGGTTAAACTTGAAAGAAATGTAAACATGTTAAGATATAGTTAATAATCATATGATCACTGCAAGGGGTTACTACAAGGTAGATTTAACATTGTTTATGTGCCCTAACTGTACATTTCCTTAATTTATTTTTTAGGAGAATAACTATAACAGCCCCCATGATGTACTTCACCCTAAATTACTGATATGTACTCTCAACCTTAACACCAATCTAACCATTTTCTTGTCTGGCAATTAGGTAAACAAGCATCTTTACTGAAGACACAAAAAGAAGTTTATAAAAGCCTTCTGTTAAAAATACATATATGGACTTTTCAGAGCTAGAAAGAATTTAAAGTAAGGGTTGACCAAAATCAAGAGTGATAATAAAGAAACCACACTCTCACATTTCAAAACATTTCTTTATTCCATATACCATCTTTGTACAACTGTGTTAGTTTTTAGTTATAAAGCAGTCTGAAAGATATAAAATAAAGTTGTATTGTGTTTACGCCTACCACACGACCTCACACACCACCCTATCTCAAAACTGAAGGTGAATTTGTTCTGTATCTACACTCACTCATTTAAAAAAAATAGAAAGGAGAGCAAAATTGCAACCCCTATATAAGGTAGTATGGATCTAGCTGTCAAAAAGACTGCTTCTCTCTCTGTGCTGCAGTGACAGCTGAGGTCAACTGGGGAGCTTTTGTACACAGTCCTTAGATCTGAATGTCTGGGGGTGGGAGTGGGAGTCTGCACTTTCTCAGTGGTGTGTCCTTTGCTATTGAATTTACTTTCACAAGTGATCCATCAAAGACTGAATCTCTTACACTTTGTCTTGCAGGTTAAGACCTCTCTCTCTCTCTTTCTTTTTCTTCACAGAAGTATCATATTATTGTTTTGTGGTGCAGCTAATTTTACTTTATTTTGGGGCTGTAGGGGAAAAGAGAGGAATTTTTTTTTTTGGTCGGCATAGGTAACAGGATATGGACTGTTTTAAAATACTGTGCATGAATTTTGTCTATGTACTGTGTGCATTTTGTAAACTTAAAATAAGCCCAAAACTTCCTGTCACATTTAAGTTTTCGAAGGGGTCTTCAAGTAACAAGATACCAAAATCATCCATAAAACCACAACTTACAACAGCATTCCTACTGTGTTTTGAAACATTACACAGCATATTTTGTTTGTGCAAATATTTCCACACAGGGTTTTCAAACTGCTATCTAATTATGAGGAGGTTTGAAGATCCAGGCAGAAAAGTCAATCATCTATCAACATACCAAAAAAAGCTGTACTTGCCACAGCTGTGGACACTTAATGATGCTTTAGAAAAAGAAAGCATGAAATTTTAAGTGGGCAGAAGGGGGATTGGTGAATACTATAGTAAGATGCAATGTATTGGACCATTATTTCTTAAAAAGCACCTTTTAAAATACATATAAAGAAACTAGAACTCAGGTCCACAGATGGGAAAATACGGTGAATTTGTGGTAGGCAACAGGCATTCTCCAACCATTTATGCCCTTCAAAACCCTCAGACACTATATGTTAGGCAAATGTAAAGATCACCCAAAACCCAATACTAATATATATCCATATTTTTAAAAGGCCCCTTTTCCTGTTTCACCTCCACCTGACAGACAGTTTCGCCTTCTCTTTTCCCAGTTCTCTCACAAGCGCCTCAGCTTCCTCGAGTCTCCCTTCTCCTCCCACCCCAGCGTCCATGCTCAGCGCTTCTCTCCCGTCACGGACCCCTCCTCACTCAACATCCTCCGAGCCCCCCTTGGAGCCGCCACCCCACGCTCCCCTTTCCACCTGTCTTCTCAGTGTCCCTGCCCCCCATACTCCCTTCTCCGCTCAGCTTTCATCTCCCCCATCGCACCTCTCGCCCGATGTCCCCCTTTCTCTCCATCGATGGCCCTACCCTACCGCTCCATATACCCCAGCTCACCCTGTCCCTCCCTAACGTCCCCAGCCCTGCTACGTCCCCTGTCCCAACCTCGCGTTGCCCTCGCAACCGTTCCCTGATTGACACCCTTGCCCTCTCCTCACTCCGCTTCCACCGGCCTCATCCACGGCTCACCCGCGTCCACCTCGGCCCTTAGGAGGCCCACACCCCCACGTGGCCGTCACCCCCTCTCCGCCCGGGGTGCTGCGCGGTCACTCACCGTTCTTCAGCTCGTGCTTGACGGTGAGGAGGGGCAGCTCCCCTTCCTCTGCAGAGCCGGAGGTTCCCTCCATTTTCTCACGGGCTCGCCACCCCCCACCCCTCTCTCTGCCTCCCGCCTGGGGTGTGCGTGTGGATGAGGGGGGTCACCGTGTCTGGCAGGATTTTATTGTTCAGAGACGTATTTGGGGGTTAACCATAACATTAAACAAACAAAAAATAAAAGCAACATTAAAATCCCGCCTCCCCAAAATACAGTCCCTGTAGCTCCCCCCTCGCTCCGGCTCCCCTCCCTACCCAACAACAGTGAGATGGGAACCTAGCCCAGGCGGCGGGACGGGGGTTGGGGGGGCATACGAGGGGAGGACTAATAAGAGACTCCACTCACTGTCCTCCCTCCCCTCATTTCTCCATTCCTCAGAGAGGAAGGGTGGAGAGCTGAGAGCTCATTGGCGCGCGCGCCTGCACATCGAGCGACGGTTGGTCAGAGATCGTTGGACATTAGGTCCCCACTCCCTATCCGCCGAGTGGCGCGCTGCCCTATTGGTTGAGGGTTGCGCTAATCGCTTGCTCCCCCTGCCTTCCCTTCTTTCGTTTCCCCCGCCTCCCCGACGTTTTATTTGTAAACATTCCCGCCAGCCCCCTGAAGTGGGCGGGTGCTAGGTCGCCTGGAGATGAAGGGACGATGCTGACTGACTCCTTGCGACTGCCAGTCATTCTAGGCTGAGAGCAGGAGGAGTGCCCCCTCCGGCTCGGACCTCCGATAATTCTGGGAAAAGGAGGGGCGCGATAGTGGGGGGGAGGGAATAAGAGGTTCCCCCCCCCCATGAGGCGACCCTAGCTCTCCTATTCCCGGAAAGCGGAGATGGGTCCCGGGGCTAGCTGGTCTGCCAGCCCCCTAAGGGGGAAGGTGGGAGAAGGAAGGGAAGAGTTCGCCCCGCCCCCTGCTGCTGAGGGGGAAGAGAGAGAAAATGGTTTCCGGCCCTTGGAGGTGGGAATACTAATGAGAGAGACAGAGCGAGACGGGAGCATTGAAGCGGCTGCTGGGAGTACAGCGCCGTGCGCTACCTGCTTGTTAGTGAGGAACCCCGGTGGTAACTTCTGTGCAACAAATCGGTGGGCCCCATCCCAGAGACCTGTCTACATAAACGAGAGGCAAAAACTGGGTGCAACGAGGCGGTTGGAGGAGCAGATGGTAACAGTTAAAGGATAACGGTAAGTGTAATAAATAGCCGTCATAGCACACCAGCTGACTAGCCTTTCAAAATCAAGGGTTTTTTTAGGCTCTCTGGCAGAGGTGAATTTTAAGGAAACCACTCGGTCCCAGCAGCATGACCTGCAGCAAAGGCAGGTTCCAGTATGCAGTGTACTATATCAATCTCAGTGATACATCCTGCAACATTAGGTGTAAGATGTCCTAGCTCCATTCCAGAGATACAACAAAACCCAGTGGTCTGTCTTGATCCTGATAACACAACCCACAGCAAAACCAAGTCCCCCAGCATGCAATGCATCCTCTCTCTCACAGCACTACAGCCCATATCTATTTATTTAGGTGCATATACTGTGGCTAAGAGACTTCAAGCTCCCAGTATACAATTTGACACTTCAATCTGAGCAGTATGGTGACTGGAGACAACAGGTAGTGGCACATATGGGGAGCACAGATCAGCATTCGTGTCCGGCTCCCCATCTTTACCCACCCCAGGCTGGGGAAGCTAATGATCCAACCACTGTGCCAGCAAATGCATGTTGCACATATGCTTAGAAGTGGCACATATTCCACCTCACCTCATTTGGCATTCCTGCAGAGCACAGAAGTCAGGGGTTAAGCCAGTCTGAACAGTATATAAATTGAAACTGATTCTCCCAGATCTTTGGCAGGTCAGCAGAAGCAGATACCTTTCCTTCCACTGAAAATAGCTGATATGTACACAGGATTGTGGAATGCAGCTTCTAGGATGCAGCTAGAGTAGGCACTGCTGAATGGTACCAGGCTCGGGGACAGAAGAGAAAATCATCTGGCCCAGGCTTATGTTGCAAACAGGTTAAGATCCAGTTTCAATACAATCAGCCTTTGCACTAAGACAGTGTTGGCACCTCTTCTGGTTTTACTGCAAGTCTCACACAATGTGGTAAAAAGAAAAGGAGGACTTGTGGCACCTTAGAGAGTAACACAAGTCCTCCTTTTCTTTTTGTGGATACAGACGAACACGGCTGCTACTCTGAAACCTGTCATTACACAATGTGTTTTTTTCTTAAAGATCGTGCTATGAGAATCAAGATGTCGGCTTTAATTTTTTAAAATAATTTCTTGTCCCCATGGTTATGGAGAAAAGCTTGAAAATGTGAAGCATATTTACCCTATTGTCTTGAAAACTAGAAGGCAAATAAAGAGAACCCAAAAATTATGATTTAAAAAAACTCCATTTTTAAGCCAGTCATGATATTTTGGGGTCTGACTCACGATTTTTTTAACACTTGGGCTCAAAACATGAGGATTTCTGCTGAAGCAGGCATTCTTGTTGCCTATGGTGCTAAGATCTGTAGTATCTGTGAGATGCACCTAATATTAAACACAATGGTATCTTCAGTCTGTTCAGTTGCATACAGATTAGGTGCAGCACTCAGTCTCCTGGCAAATTGTCAGTGCAGGCCTTAATTGGACAGGCTGTTAGAATATTCCTGTTTAAAGGGAACAGGGAGGTAAAGGAAGAGTGATGGATATAGTTTTAGAATGAGTGTGTCTATGTCTTTAAATACATATGTGGCTTAGTGTTTCCTGTTTGCATGTAACCTTAATGTAGAAGGAGGAAGCAGGAAGAAAGTCTGCTAGGAAGAGACTCCGGCTGCATGGTGTCAGAGCAAAGTTGTCTTTCCTTAGAATTGTAGCAAATACAAAAGAGCATTAGATTCTTTTCTGGGGAGCAATAAGAGACAGGGTAAAATGGAAGACAAAGATTGTGTTTACTTGAAGATAAAACAGCCTTTGTAACAGGTGAAAGGCCAAACTAACAGTAAGATAGTGTAAATAAGCAATGTTAGACTGTTACCAGATACTTGTTAAATGTGATGGGGGAGTGTTATGTCTGCTGTTATACTCACTAAATATCTTGTGGTGTGAGGAGAGGAGAACCTATTACAGAAATACATCAATTCATGAATAGGTATTTGAGTTATGTAATTTGGTTTATTTTCATATTAAGTGGGCTGGGAGATATATTAATAGGAAACTGATTTTTTGGTTAATTTTTAAGAAAACAAGAACTGTGCGTTTAGAATTATATTAGGCCTTCACGCTCACTTAGATCTCTGCAGCTTTTACATTGTGGAAACAATATGCCACCTGTTAAGCAGATTCCTATGTTTCCCTCTGACCCAGAGATAATTCTGTTAGTGATAAGTAAGGCTAAGTTTTAGTCAGAAGTATTTTTAGTAAAAGTCATGGGCAGTAAACAAAAATTCACAGCCTGTGACCTATCCATGACTTTCACTATATACCCTTAACTAAAACTTGGGCCAAGGGTCCCCTGGGGGGGCGGTCCCGGCAGCGTGTGGCCTGGGACCCCCGCTGGTGCTGCGGCGGGGCGGCAGCATACGGCCTGGGACCCTTGCTGGTGCTGGGAAGGGGCAGATGGTTGGCGGGGCTGGCAGGCTCCCTACCTGGCTCCAACCAGCATGTCTCTGCACCTCCTAGTGGCCAGGAGGGCTCTGCACACTGCTCCTGCCACAAGCACCAGCTCCACAGCTCCCATTGGCCAGGAACTGCAGCCAATGGCAGCTGCAAAGGCGGCTGTTGCGGGCAGCATGCGGAGCCCCCTGGCCCCTCCACCTAGGAGCTACAGGGACATGCCAGTGGGAGCTGGGGACCACCCCCCCAGGTAAGCGCTGTCCCACACTCCAATACCCTGCCCTAGCCCTGAGCTCCCTCCCGCACCCAAACTGCTGCAACTGCTGGCCCAGGGGCTGCCCAGCTCTGGTAGTCCCTGAGCCAACCGCACTGGCTGCTGCAGAAGTCACAGAAAATCACGGAATTCGTGACTTCCATGACACACATGCAGCCTTAGTGATAAGGTACAGCTTCATTAGATTTACAGTTATGTATTGCAACACTTGTTTTCAGTCAGGCTGTTTGTTGTTTTTGTTTATGTCCTTTCTGTACCATTTGAAAGATTTGCTGTTGTGTATGAGTATTACTATATCATCTACTGGTTAGAATAACAGGTCTGCTCACATTTTACTTCATTTCCCTAATCAGAGTTTGACAAGATGGTGGACCTAACTATAATAATTATTTATTGGGTACTGATTGTGCAGTTGCAGCACTGTGGTTTGAACAAAACTGAGCTTGACTTTTGGCAATTCTCACTTTATGTCTATACTTTTTGACTTCCAAGCTGTAGCTTTCTTTGCTGATGTATCCCTTCTTCTGTTCCTTGTATATTCTCTTTTTACTCCTACTGTCCTTTTTGAGGTGTTTATTCATCAAGTTAGGGCTGGAGCCTTTCCCTGTAATTTTTTTCACCTTATTTGGGATGCAAATTCCAGATAAATGTTTACACCTCTGACTTAAATTTGTAGGAGGTTTGGAATTTCTTTAAGCCCCTGAGCTCTTCCATCCATTTAACTTCACTAACTAGTTGCCTTAGTTTCCCAAAGTCTGCCATTTTTAAATTGAATACCTGTTACTAACCTGTTTTTGATTCTCTTTCCATTTAATTTTTACCTCATGATCACTCAATCCAAGGCTTTCTTCTGTAGCCTCATCACTGTTTACCCAAACCAAGTCGAAAGTAGCATCACCTCTCATCATTCAGGGATTTGGTGAAGAATCCAGTCATCTAGTGCCTCACTGGGCCTACCATTATTAGTAGAGATTAACTTCCAAGCTATAGATTGGAGAAGAAACACTCCCATAATGACAATTTGCCGTAGTAGTTCTCCCTTTAATAATAAGGGACTTCTATCCATGTCCAAAGCTGACCCTAGAGGTCTATAGCAAATCCTTAACACGTGCACAATAGAACCTCTTTTACAGTCCTTCCCCAAAGTGATTTTGGCCCAAATGGATTCTGTTTTATTTCAGAGTAGCAGCCGTGTTAGTCTGTATTTGCAAAAAGAAAAGGAGTACTTTTGGCACCTTAGAGACTAACCAATTTATTTGAGCATAAGCTTTCGTGAGCTACAGCTCACTGTAGCTCACGAAAGCTTATGCTCAAATAAATTGGTTAGTCTCTAAGGTGCCAAAAGTACTCCTTTTCTTTCTGTTTTGTTATCTCTTCTCGTTTCTTTACAATGCTACCTTAGTATCTTTACTTCTTTCTCTCCTGAACAGTACGTACCCGATAGTACCTGTATTCCAGTCATGACTGCTATTCTGCCATATTTCTGTTATCCCTCTGATATTGGGTTTCACAACCTGCATTGGTGGTTCTAATTCCTCCATTTTGGTGCCAAGGCCCCTCACGTTAGTTTACAAACATCTGAATTTTTTCTTGACCTCATCCAATTTCCTAGCTGGATTGGGCATAGTTCTTTTGCTGTCCTACTCCTATCTTCTGGTTTCCTTTATCCATTATTATATCCTTGTTTACCTGCTTTTCCTTTCCTGTCTGTTAAAACCAGGTATAAGTAAGTTACTTCTTTCCTTCTGAATCTTACGTATAGTCTCTCCTGGTTTCTTCCTGCAGACTGCTGCTGGCTCATGTTCATGCTTTCTCTGTTAGAGATTGAATGTATAATAAAATGCTAATTTGCATTGTTACTTTCAATGGCACTAATCACATTTGACAGTTCTGTTCAATTCAGGCAGAGAGCCCAGTTCTGATAGACTCCAATGAAATAAACTTGCTTCTGGTAGTCCATCTCTTATTCTACATTTTGATGCTTTACAGTTTATATAAATACAAACAGGTAGCCATTGATGCCATTTTTAAAGGCACAATGTCAATTTCAAAAAAGTTCAAGTTAAATCTGTTTTCTAATAGAATGCTATTTAAATAGCATGTGCTCATTTGTTGGATTTTATTTTATTTTTTTTTAATTTCTGAAAAATATTCAGAAGGGTTTTTCTGCTCCTCTGGGGATATTTATAAGGGTCTTTTCAGCAAGAGAAAGAGAGCAACTCATGCCTCCAATCCTGAAAGTTATTCTGCTTGGATGCATCCCGGCACACCCACATAAAGACCTTTCAAATACACAGTTTATAAACTGAA